ATAACCTACCCACCTGCAGGCTTAGCAATGCACTAAAGCACTTCACTATAAATGCTTCCTACTCTCAGATTTCTTACCCAAATTAAAGAGGGCATCAGCAAAATTGTTACCAGGAAAAAAAAAACACCCACAAAAAACCTCAACAAACACCCAAAGGCAGGTTGTATATGTTTCACTTCTCCAAAACAAGCAAGCTCGACATGGTACATAATTTTGCAGTCCAGAGCCTTCACAAATCCTTAGATGAAGAAATGGCCTTTGCAACATGACTTAAAACCTCACAAACCCGGACAAATTAACACCAAGAAAACATTAAACTTACGGACCATTAGATGTCAAAGAATATACAATGTTTCAAGGTAAAGCAGGGCAGCTGGAACAACAGACATCCTATCTATTATATGAATTATTTCCACCTTGATTCTGAACCACGTCGGACAGGAAAGCACCGTGCACTGATCCCCAACACTCCTCCAGGTCAAAGCTGCCTTTTCCCCTCAACAGCTCCTGGCCGAGCACACATCCCATCAAGGTTGTTCAGCTTCCCAAGTCCAAAGAACAAACACAGTGACCTCAAGTTTTCTCTTATGCCAAAGCAGAACTACGTTTAGAGCAGCACATTTTTTATACACACACGTAAAACAAAGAGCATTTTCGCAAACTTGGTTTTTGCCACACCACAGCATTTACTTCCATTATTAGTATAACCCTCTTAGAATAGGAAACAGTAGAGAAACATTCACTTTACTATTACCTGCTCCCTTACACATGCCCAGCTAATGCCCTTTTTATTTACATGCACAGCTCCTGCTGACATTAACAGAAGTTGGGCATGAAAAACCACAGGCAAAAATCGAATGTTTCATTCTCTGAACTATTTATATACAACAGGTTTGCATCTCTGTCTGTTCACAGGTAAAAGGTGATTTCCTATTTCATGAACTGATCAAATATCTTAAAGTACTTTATTACATGTAACTATTTAATGTAACACTCAAAACCACTCCACAAAATCATTAGACATGTTAATTTTAGCATATCTTTGTAACACGCTCATCATTGATCCATCCTCTTAGGAAGGAGCCATTTATTATTTTTATTGATGCCTAAAAGCATGTTTGATGCTACACAACTCCAAAATTCTACCAGCACTTAAGTAACCCAGTGCTGGATGATTATTGATTATGCATATACTCGGACACATTTCTTCCTTGGTCAAAGTTAAACAAACGTATGGATCTAAAAAGATGAAAACCATATTGTTCAGAGAAGACTAAAAGTAACTTCTGACAGTATTTTATTACCTACAGATGATTTTATATTATTTCAGCTAAATCATCCTGTCTTTAATCACTTACTACCCATTTCCTGTACTTTTTCTCCTGTTCCACAGCATCAAAATACAGAGTTAGCCATCCCTACACATAAAATCTAAGCACCTCTTGTGTTGAGTAGCTTACCCTAACAGAATACAGTGCCACACTATTTTATCAAAATAATAGATTAAAGTATTTTAATTGGGAAATACACTTTTTAGAAGTATAAGAGCACATCCAAGAGCATGTGAAGTGTTTTTGAACATGAATTACAAGAGCACTGTGCAAAAAAATTGCAAACCCATAATAAATCAGATGATTGGAATCTTGTTCAGTTTGCAGCAACTGGGAATACTGGTGGTTCCTACTGGCCCAGGATCACACCCTGTGTTGCAGTTAAGGATTCAAAAGAACCTTTTTATTTTTATTATTTCTATCTTTACTGGGGTTTAGGCTGCATAAGACCCAGTGATAGCTCTGGCTGCAGTGTGGGATTCTTTCAGACAAGAAGAGAGAAACTGGGACATACAGACAAAGCCAGGGCCATGTTTCACCTCAGCATGGATTCAGTCCTTCATGGAGGAAGTTAAGTGACTCCTGGTATTAATTCTACAAATTAGATAATTAGACTGCAGTTTGTTAGGTTCACATTTCAAAAGCTTAAGATCCATTTTTAGTGGTATATCCAGCCTCACATGGACATAAAATTGCACTCGAGTAAGAAAATTCAAAAACTGGTCTTGCCTCCAGCAGCCTGTCTGATCTACATTAATCACAACAGTTTTCTTCTTGTGAATGACTGGTCAATTGATTATTCTTCTTTTAAATGCATGTAATAAACAGTTTACTGAAAGGAAACTAAGTAGAAACATTGGAACCTACCAAACAACTGCCACTACGTCCCCATATCAATTCCACTTAAAACTCTTTGAGTGGAAATCAACTATTCTCAAAGTTAGCAGGAACTGGAAAGAAACATAATTTTTCTCCTTCAACAATAAAGACCACATGGAGTTACAGTATGGACACAGTGCTATTGAAGCTCTATTTCACAATAAAAACTTGTATTATTAAACCTACAGAGAGATGTACACAGCTGGACGCTCATAACATCACAAATCTGCCTGGGATCCATCTGCATATACCTATTTATAATGTCCCCACAGTTTGCCAAGTGCCATGGCTAGAATCCCAGCAAAAAGGATTTTAAATCTAGGTCCCCCTCATTAAATTTTGCAAACAATATTTGACTGTAAGTTTGTAAAACTAACTGGTGAGCAACGTGTTAAATGTCAGTGCAGCTCCACGGAGATACACACACGTCCTGTAAACCTCTCTTTTCATTGTGTTGTTCTCGAGGGAGAGCATCCACAACTTTCAATATAACATTGCAGTTTGGAAAGAAATATCTTTTTAAAAACCAAACCAAACTAAAACTTTCTCAAATACACCCTAAAGTCAAAAGGAAGGAAATCTAATTCCTTATAAACAGCATGGGAGCTACTTTGAAATGTTCCATCTGTTCCTCCTGTAAGAAAGGAAACAGGAATGCAAGAAAAGGATCCATAATAAAAAGAGCAAATACTATATTCCCTGAATACAACAGGTTAGTGGAATTCAAGTGTTACCTTTCAGAGAATGGAAATTCAAGGGGAAACAGAAGGGAAAAGGTGTCTGACAGGTAAAATACAAGTTGGATACTAGGAAAGCAAAAAGAAAATAAGAACAGACAGCAAAGAGCACAAAATCAAATAACAATAAAGCCTATTAGCATATCAGAAACTGGAAACTTTGCAGGAAATCATTGGATTTGCTAGCTGGGATTGAATAGAGCACTTGAAGAAGATAAGGGCATTGCAGACAATCCAAACTACATCTTTTCACCAGCCTTTGCTATGGAAAATGCTGGGGAAACACATTCCTGACTTCTCTGATAAAGTGACTGACTCTTCTTCAAACTGAAAAATCAAAACAGGGTGAGGAAACACAATCAATTGAAAGCAATAAATGATGAGGGATGAGCTCCTGTCCCAGTGCCATCGATGGGTCTTTTACCATTGATTTTAGCACTGTCGCTATTTCACTTCGGATCTGAACAGCAACAGTTTCAAAACATGAAAAGGCATCCGAGTGGACTGTTCAGGGTGCAGCAGTGGTCAAAAATACAAGGAAAACTGTAGAACATAAAAAGGATGAGACAGGGACAGCAGGAAAGACTATCTTTTCAGTCAATATCCAATCTCTTCTGGAGTATCTATTCAGCTTGGGATTCCTGTTCTAAATCAACGATGGTGGTATTTGACGAGAGTTTGACAACAACCAAAAATGATGATGGAAGAAAATTTTAAAAGATGGGAAAAATCCCTGGAATTTAACTTAGTAAAGAGATGTATAAGAGGGGACTGTAGAGTTGCAAAGAATGCTATGAGATATAAGTTAATAAGAGGCTCCTGAATTTAAGCTTTCTCATATTATTAGAGCAAAGGGCCACTCAGGGCAATAAAAGGTTACCAGGTCAAAACTAAAAGGACCAAAACATTTTACTGCACAAACCAAAAAAACGTGTAATTAATTCACAAGGACATATCCACAGTAATAGCAAGGAGTATTCTTCTATGATTTTCTTTCTCATTCATACCCATATAAAGAAATTAGTGGTATGGCAATAAACATAAATTTTCAGAACAACTCCTTTAAGGGAACGTGTTTTCCCTTTCCTCTTGCCCTGATGCATGGAACCTTTTAGGCTGGATATGTGCCAGGGGAGGAAGGGGAGGTCAGATGAGGCATGGAGCATGGCTGGGGCATGGATGAGGACAGTTAGGAAAGATGCTTGGAGCACATGCTCCAGCTGCCTGTCCTGTGCTCGATCCTACACAGGTAACACAGGTGGTTGATGGCTCAGAAATCCGCCAGCTGTTGGCACTGGATATATTGTGTCCCACTCTAGAATTAAGACAGAAGCACTAAACTATCAGTGTGTGAAATCTGTGACTTAAATTACAAGGTAGAGCCATCCAAGGAGTCTCTTGCATAATTCATGACACTTCAGAACTTTATATATAAATCAAACGGGAGGAAAGTCGATCATTTCTGCTCTGTTGAGCACGGACCCACACACAGCTCGGGTAATGGCTGCACAAACAAGCTCTCTAGAAAATACAGTATTACAGACATGTTCTTCACAATACTCATTCACACGGTGATTTTAGTGCAATGTCATTCCATGAACACTTTTATTAAAAACTACTTGCAAGTGTCAAAAGCACAGAGGCCATTAAAAATAACCAAATGAGTCTAGTTTGTTTTTTTTTTGTTGTTTTCTTTTCCCTTGCAAATGAATGCCTACAAACACTCATTTGCATATTTCCATATTGGACTTAATTAAACTTTATGATATGATTCATGGGCTGGCTATTAATCATTTTGTCTAATACTGCTGAAAAAGAAACCACAGATTCTACAAAGCTCTGACACTTCATGAGAGGCTCCAAACCCAGTGAAAATACATTCTCCATGTTCAAGGATAAACTTTGACAAGACTTTTAACCTTAACATGGTGACTAATCCTAACACAAATGAAGTGTAAAAGCATTAAGTGTAACGGAAAACAATAAAAATCATTGACAAAAACATATGTAACTTGAAACAAAGTGCTTGAAAAGAGCTGTAACCTTGACTTACTGTGGCTGTGCCGGAGACAGTTTGTGCATTTGTGTCAGCTGCACTCTGTTCAGAGTGTGTCTGAGCAGGAGGGTACATGTTTAACGTGTGCTCTGGAACAGTGGTTTGGCCTGTGTAGTCTGGAGCTGGATGCGGATGTGGGGCTGTGTATTCTGCAGGGATACCATTCTGAGGTGGAGCGAACTGGGCTGAGGCATAAGGCTGTGCCATTGTGTCAGGAGGTGCTGTAGCTTCCTGATTACCCTGTAAAAAAAAAAAAAATCAAAGGGAAAGAAAAGGGAGAAGAAACGTGGCGTGAGATTAGATAAGCGAAGGTCCCGCACAGGTAACACGGAGCGATGACAGTTCTGCTAAGATTGCTGGCCTGAAAAGGGCACAAGGGCTGTTTCTTAAGGAGAATATTTCTTATCTGAACTAAATGCATTTTGCTAAACCTATTAAATAATATTCTAATTAGACAAACAAGTCTGCTGTTCACTGGATAGTTGTAGATGATTCTTTAACCGGGAAAGGTCAGTGGAATCTGCCTGAATTAATGCTTCGACTCGGACAGGGAAGAGGGACAAAGCCACTTTATTCCAAAGGCTACTGAGCACAACTGCCAGTACAGAGCTCTGCTCAGATTAGCTCACTGTCTGTGATCCACTCTGACTTACCATTTGCAGAACACAATATATGCAACCTGACACACAGGGCAGGATTTGGGTTGTGCACTGAAAATACTTATATGAACTAATGCTCTGAGATATTCAGAATACTCTGAGGAACTCTGTAGAGAGCAACTGCATGCCACAAATGCAAAATAATAATGAGACCCAGTCAAAATATTAAAAATTTGAATCTAAACATGTTTCAGTTCAAAATCTTAAAGAAATATTCAATTCAAATAAAAGAAAAATTCAATGCTGCAGACTGTCAAAAGAAATAGATTTAAGAACTGTAAAGGTTTTAAATTTGTAGACAATAGTATTTTATTTGCATATCACAATAAGCCTATACAATTAAAAACAAATCTTCTCATCTCTTTATGGATAGATCCATCTTTCTGTTTGATATGATAAAGAATAGCCAAGCATGTTAATTAGTCAATTAGAAAACTTCTGACTAAGTGCTTTGCTCATACCAAAAAGTAATTATTCTAGGGAAGGAAATGTACACAACAATCTTTAAGACCTTATATGAAAGATGTCCAAAACACAACATTGCATGAGACAGCAATAGAGGCCATTAGTCCAGGGACTATCCCAACCTCAGGGCCAATTTACAAGATAAAATTATCCCTCTAAATATCGAGTAATGCAAAAATGTATATTTAAGTAAAAAATTAGCTTTTAAACTACTCTGTTATTCTCCCAACAAAGCATGTACAAGCACAGGACTAATGCAGGGATTTTGTTTATTTGTACTCATCAGTCCTTGATTTCCTAATTTCAAAATAGGTTGAATAGGATGAATAAAAGACAATCTTTTTCACTTTATGTGTAAGGACATTTCCAGCCAATTTCGACTAATTCAGACATCAGTTCTCTGACCTGAACTGGTCCTAAACTCAAGAGCTTTTAAAAAATTGCACAGGATTAAGTCTTGATAGATTTCAGGCTTAGTAGAGAAAATTAAATTTTCTTGTGTAAAAGGTGTTCAGTGTGTCCTAAAAACTTAAAACTTTCTACCAGCAATCAAACCCTCCCTAATTCTAGTCTCATCTTTGCTACTGGAGGCCTTGAGCAAGTAGTTTGTGTTGCTTGATTTAAACATCTTTAAAATTAAAACAGCAGCATTTTCTGACTTCACAGGGTTAAGTGACTTTTGTTTCTATATATCTACAATGTTTCTATATATCTACAATCCAAGGTTAATGCTGCACTGAAACTGGCCCTGTTAAACTTCTGTGGAGGTTAAAAACTCTTGTAAATGTGTACTTCTATCATCTTATATTAAAATGCTAAAGTTCATTTCTTATTTCTTTTACCTACTATGTTCAGTGTTAAAAAAAAAAAATGAAGAGGAAGCAAAACCCAGCAATGACTGGATTACACCAGAGACATTCATTAAATGTTAAAGAAGTATTTTTAAAACTTGTGGAGGAGGCAGTCGACCTTATTTTAATCAGCTGTTTCAGGAAGGACTTCAGCAAGTGGCAGGAATGAACAAAAGCATATCTGAATTCTGCCTGTATAAGCATTTTCCCTGTGCTGGCTTTGAAACACAGGAGCTGGTTACTGCTGGTCCTTAAGCTATTCCTTCATGTCAGATGCTAAACATGGCATTAGAGTCAGCAGCTGTTAAAAAAGAACAATAATGGCAACAAAGGGACCAAGGGCTAATGTCCAGGTGCATTTGATCTAAAGGTTTTTGTACTACGTGGAGTCCTAAACCAGATGTTGCCGAGACCCCCACTGTTCTTCATTAACCTTGACAGCAGGTCCACGAGGACCCTAATTAATATTCAAAGCATCCACACTTAGTGCTAATTACAGTTAATATTTAATTAAGAGGGTTGAACTTTTATATTATTTTTTACCAGCAACTCCAAACTTTTTAGACTTGTAATAAAATGGCAAATTGCACTGGTAATTCAATCACCTTCACCGTGCTGAGACTCTTCTGCCTCTTTCATTAGACTTGTTCAGCTGAGGTCTGACTCATTTATTTATAACTGAGACCTCATTAATAAGTAAACAATGAAGGGTCAGGGATTTATTTGTCTATTTTTTTTTTAGTAACTTGTACATACTCTAGGATTTACAACCTTGCCATTAAATAAACCAACCCCACCATGCTTAGAGCAGAAAACTGGCACACAAGATTATCAGGGCAGTCATTGCATGTTCAATAAATTGTTTGGAGGATGGGGACATTAAAGAAATTAAACTTTTGCATGTTACTGTAGGCCCTAAGTTTAAAATGGTAGCAACAATAAACCTGAGATCTCTTAAAATCAGTGACTACTGAAACCTTTCCTAGCCTTTAAAATTAGTCTGAATTTATTATTCACAATTAATTCAGACACAGTATTACAATATAGTATAAAAGCATGTTTGTATAAACCTGCTCTTTAGTACTTACTTGGGTAAAAATAGTCAAAGGATATTTTTTAGAATATGAATTTATATCAAGAATAATGCAGTGTCAACTATCAGGCATTTATATGTACATGTGGTTGATGGAAAGTCCAGACTAGTCAGATACACTTGAATCGAATTTAAAGAACTAAAAATTCTTTAAATAGAATCACCTAAAATTTCACTTTATTACACTCTTTAAAATATAGTGAAATAAAATGAATAAGAAGAAATAATACTTCTAATGCATTAAGTTGAAAATATGAAATGGCCCTAAAAGCAACAGGAAATATTGACCCTAAATTAGCCTATGAACTCAGGTATTAGAGTAATTTCAAAGCCGTGTGTGACACTACACAGACCTTGCTTAATACCACCTAGACATGAGAGGCTAACCAGAAGTTGTCCCTTCAGACTCAGTTCCAAGTACCTTTAAGATTAAATGACTCCTTAATGCTCATTTTGTTCATGGCTTTTTTAAAAAAAGTGGTTGTTGGCAACAGCAAGAAGAACAAAGGATAGCAGACAGTCAGGCTCTGCTAAATGTTCTGGCCTGAGTCTTAATGAAAACCACATTTCAACTGAAAACTATGCTTTACGTGGCAGTGTTTAAAATCAAATTTATTGCCTTCTGGTTAAACGTTGAACTCTAAAGAACCAAAACAAAAAAAAGGATTCCAGCGATGTAGGTAAGTGAAGGCTCTCCTATCCCATCTATATTACTACATATGAAAAAAAGCTTCAAATTTAAACTGCTCCTAGTATCTCAGATCTCAACATGCCTTTTCAGCATCTTCTGCTCTGAAAGGATTTCATAATTAGGAAACGCATGAAAAGTGTCAAAACATAATAAAGCAAGCTTGTTTTGTTTGTACACAAAAGAGAGAGCCCAGAAAACATTACTTATGCAGCTTTCCTTTTTCAAAAGCACATTTGCAGCATAAAAACGTATTCAATGAAAACCTTTCTGCCTGCCTGCATTTTAAAGTCGAACTGGCAGTTTATTGTTTGTTTTACCCTATTTTCCGTTTGGTGCATTTTGTTTCTCTGGCAAGAGGTACTTCACATTTCGAGAAAGCCTCCTGTACTGTAGTTAAATGAGCCAAACTGCATCGTATCCTCGGGGCAGGGAAACAAAGAAGAAAAATGCAACACTACTCTGCAAATCTGCTGGTTGTAAGAATGGCTCAGTTCCATATTTCAAGCCCAGCAGAGACATGATCCCCACTGTAGCTTGCCCTCCTTCAGACTTCAGCAACAGAACGTGTATTAGAAGTTCTTGCATGCAGTGGTGCAGCTGGCTATAAGAAATGCCCTGACTTGACTAAAACCAAGAGCTTCAAGTGAAAATAAAAGTGCAAATACCTGCTGTACCATCCTGCTCCCTTTATTCTCCATAAACTTGGCAGCTGCTCTAGTCCCAGGCCATGCAGCATGTGCCCAAAGCCAGCATCAGTTACGGGGCGTGTGAGCGATGCAGTGTGTGCACGAGTGGGGATGGCTGGGGTGGTGAAGGAGGGGGAGCCAATGCAGGGTTTGCTGACCTCCCTCTCAACATCTGACTGCTCCCAAAACCTGATCCAGATGGGACTCCTTCAGTTTGCAGGGCCTCGCCCCATCAATCACAGCAGGCCACTCCTCTGTCTCCTGCTACTAGTTATGGAGTGCACCACTGAGCAGATGATTACACACAGAAGAAGAAAAAACCCAGCTTGACTACATTAATAGCTGTTCAAAAAAACACTGGAAATGCTACTATGCAAGTTGCTGGAAGATGAACATTTTTGTTTTAAAACATTTTTGTATTCAAAGTTAAAAAACACCTTAAACTTCCATAGCTTTGGCTTTGGGATAGCTACAATGTGCAGTAACACGTGTGCATTTCCAGGGGATTAATTCCTCCTCCATGTGGCAGAGTTAATATCAATAAGATTTCTATTTTAAAATTGCTGAATGCCACGAGTAAACTGCCGATATTGAACTGGCCTGTTTTAGATTAAATGTACTTTATCCTTCCATTCAAATGAAATATTCTTTCCTTTTTTGTTTCATTTCATGACATCCCTCTTGCTTAGCAGGGGAAATATTTCAGAAATGCATCCAAGGTTTAGTTCTGCAAGGCACTTTAAGCAACTTAATGCTTCACTGTTAAAGGAACTTTCCTAGATGCTCTGGAGATTG